AAAGCGACCCGGACACGAATACGCTCGCGTAGCTCGCGCGAAATATGTACGCGGCTAACTAATGCACCCACCTGTCCCGTTCAATCTTTGCCAAAAAGCCGGCCAAACTGTTCCCTTATCGGTCGCAGTATTCGAATCGGCGTGATTTTTTCAAACAAGTGGTCTAGAATTCTGCGCGAAGAAATTGGCTCTCCGTTTCTGCCAAATTCGGGCAATTTTGAATACGATAACAAAATAATGCCGGGGGTTGGCTGATATTCTGTGAGTTAAGGAACAATCGATACCTTTATTAAAACTGATCGGCAGATTTTTATAACTCTTTATCAATTTTATATGAATGTTATAAGTTCCTAAAATATTTCACAATAGCTCAATCGCATCTTTCTATTCTCTTGTTGTTAAATTCGAAAATCGCTTAATAAATTCCTGTGAAGTGATCGAGAGCTCTCAAGCAAATTTATGAAACACAGTTCTCAAAATGATTTTTGTCGATTCTCACCCCCTCATTTAATTAATTTCATTTGACTCTTCGCAGAATTTATCGTTCCATTCGTATACATATCTTCTTTTATATTATTTATATTTTATGCACACACATTATTTACATTTCATACAAATACAATATTATTTATAATTAAAATTATATATTATAATAATAAAATAATATATATTTTATATTATATATATAAATATATATATATATATATATATATTATAATAATAAAAAATATAATTATTTATAATTAAAAGAATTAAAGAAGTTCAAAAATTTCAATCTCTTATTTTTCACATATTAAAATGATCAAAGAAAGTACGAAAATATTAACTCGAATATCCGAGCGAAAAAACACGTCGCTCGCACATTCTCCGCACCCCGTCGCGCCCCGTCGGAATCAAAGCGAGGGAGCTGGAATTTTTGGAAGCACATAAACATAGCTGTTCGCCTCAAAAGCACCGCCAGAGGCAAGGCAGGCGTTCAAGCGTTTTCGGCTCGGCCCGCCGCGGCGGCCGCCTAAAAACAATTCGGCCGTGTCGCGTTTAACGCGAGAACCACTTGCGAGCAGCCGCAGCGGCAGCAGCAAGAGTATTATAGAAGAGTGGATGAAAGGAAGATTAAACGGGACTTCCTCTCGCGAGGAAGATGCAGCCTGAAAAGGCTGGAGAAATGAAACGAGGCGGCGCGCAGCCGGCGAATTTCCCCGAAATCGTGGACAATGCTAATAACTGTGATCATATTGGTTTCTCGCTTCGTACACCTGAATACTTTGTTAACGTTTTATCGGGACGAAATTACGGGCGTCTCTCGGGTCTCGTTAAATAGCCGGAATAACGAGAAGCCAATTATTATGTCGTGTATCTATCTTGATGCCACGTAACTTCTGCTTGAATCATATCTTTTTTTATATCTTTTATATTTGTTTTATACTTCTTTATATTCCTTAGTATTTTATAAATATTTTCCTGTATTTTTTATACTTTCTTTTTGTATATTTTTCATACTTAAAACGGCTCGGCGACGCACAGGGGTGAATTTATGCGAAATCGCGGACAATGCTTATAGCTCTGTAATTATTCGTTTTTCACTTCGTACAGCTGAACAATTTTTGAAGATTTTATGAGAAGAATAATCTAAATGTCCTTCGGATCTGAATAAATAATCGACATGACGAGAAACTAATTATTAGATTGTGGATTTTTAATCGAGAATAAAAATAGTCTGTTTCGAGTACAATAAACGATGCTAAATAACGAGCTTCTTTCGGTCATTTTTGCCGGGTGCGCGGCGCGCGAAAAAATAAACGAGAGGGATAGAATCGACCGGAGGGAAATCCAAGCCACGTACCGCCCCCTTCCCCATTTATCATCCATCGCATCCGGCGAACAGTTGACCTTTCTCCCCAGGCTGATTCCGACCTGGTCTCTCTTGCCTCTTTGAAATCAATATTCGCTTCTTTTCCTTCCGCCTGCTCGATCAGCCACTCGAACTTAACCCTACATACCGCACACTTACGTAGTAGTCGCGCCCCGTTCGCCGTCGCGAGTCGTTCCGACGGCCCGGGGACCGGCGGGCCCCGTTCGTTTAACCCCTTCGGGTACGTCCGACGACCGAGTCTCAAAGATGCGCCTGTTTCGACTAAGTTACGGCTGACCTAATTCGTCATTCAAGCTTCTAACTACCGTGTATATTATATAAATAAATAAACGAATCCTCAGACAAGATATCCCGTAATTATGGCACTTCCAGGAAATCTGGGGTTCCTGAGGTTATTTCAAGTAACTTTTTCCTTTGCGAAAATGTTCTGCGAGGCTTCGTTTACGAGTTATTAACGAAAAACGGTGACCAATGAGAGGCGATGGGCGGGACTGAGCCTCGTGCGCTCGTTGAGTCCGCGTTTTTCACGAATAACTCGTAAACGAAGCCTCGCAGAACATTTTCGCAAAGGAAAAAGTCGCTCCGAATGACCTCAGGAACTCGTAATTTCCCGGAAATACCATAATTTCGGGACAGCTTGTATCATAATATCCCGCGCATCGACAAATTAAGTCCGCTCCGAACGCAAGAATTTGTTCGAATAAATCCGTGCCCTGTGTCTGCAAATATTTCGGAGCTATCGATAGCAAGCGAAACGGTCGACAGCGTGGAAAACAATCGATTGTTTTTCGACTTGGAATTAGACCTCGGTTACGCTCTCTCGTCGAACTTCGGCCGTGGAAAACCGTCGGCGACGCACGAACTTTGTGCTCGCGGAACTTCGGCCGTCGAATTTTCGTGGACGGCGTCGATACAACGACTCCCACGTCAGCCAATCGCGGGATACGTCGATACCTTTTCGATGGGAATCGGAACCGAGTAGGAGAGAGCCAGTCGGCCGTCCCTCTTTCCGCTCCGGCACGCGCGCTCGCCGGGAACGAAACAACGCCGCTGTAAAATTCCGATCCGCCGGCAACGGGATTTCTATTCTTCCCTAAAAGAAATCCGATAAGTTTCGATGCCCGGTTTCACGGAGGAAAATGAGAACGGCTGCGCATTCTAATCGTATCGCCTCGGATCGAACCAGCCAGCTTCTATTTTTCCGTGACGCCGGTGCTGCGGAACCGCCCCCGTATCGCCACCGTTTCGATCTTCCTGGCGGTTTTTATTGGCTTCGGAAATCCGCTGGTTGTCCGACGAAATGAAGGATTTCGGGCTCTTCGGTTTTCGATTGTTCAGATTGCATTGTATTATCGTTCTCGCGGAAAGTCGTTGGATTTATCGACGGAATTTATGGAACATGTTGCACGGATGCATGTTCTTCGGGGTAGTCAGCTTTCCATGCGATAGAAATTTGTTCTGTTTCATCGAAATTACTGGTCTTATCTTTTTTATTATTTTGTAAGCTTTAATCGTAATTTTTTGTTCTGTCGGTTTTATTTTATTTTTGTATTTCTTGTTTTATTCTTGCATTTTCTATTTTATTCTTGTATTTCTTATTTTATTTTTGTATTTCTTATGTTATTCTTGTATTTTCTATTTTATTCTTGTATTCTTTATTCTATTTTTGCATTTCTTGCTTTGATCTTGTATTTTTTTTATTTTACTTTTGTATTTCTTATTTCATTCTCGTGTTTTATATCTTATTTTTGTATTTCTTATTTTATTCTCGTATCTTCTATTTTATTTTCGTATTTCTTACTTTATTCTTGTGTTTCATATTTTATTTTTGTATTTCTTATTTTGATCTTGGATTTTTCTATTTTATTTTCCTATCTCCATTGTTCCATTTACTTGTCGCAAGCGCTAAATCCAAGCAATATTGTAATATAAACGACGTGCTACAGGCTTCTCTCGTCACAATATTTACTTCCAGTTTAATAAGTGAATATCAAATTTTAATCAAACATCAACGGTACGTAAAGTTTCTTCTTAACTTTCGCCGTCAATCTACGAAGAAACACGTTCCACTTTGTTAGTTTATAGAACAGACGCTCGTCCATCGATAATAAGGATAAAATTAGATTGATATAGATCGATAGACCTGTATAATAGATCGGAGAGCACGAAAGTAAATACGCTCGTGGTTTATTTTCTGCCCAGGAATTTAATAGATCCATTATTCATACGTTTTAGAGCGAGGTTTTAGAAATCCGTGAACAACGGAAAATGAATATATGCATTGCTGTGCATGGATGTTTGAGGAAATTGTTATCTGAATAATTCCGTGGTCTTATTTTATACATCGTTTTAAAAGAATTATGCCCCGGTTTCGTTCGAACGAACAGTTATTTTCAGTTAGAATCGTTTCTTTTCGTATGAATCGTTATTTTAAGAAATGCCATTCGATTGAAGATTTAGTATACTTTTAATAAACTATAACAAAGGATAAAAAGTGAAGGTTTCTTGCCTTTCTTTCCACTTTCTGCAAAATAAATACGTTAACTGCGACAAATTCGAGGCGAGTAGAAAATTGTTCTCGAATAATTCTCGTTTTTACTCTAAATATTATTTTCTCTTATAGCATTATTATTATTATTATTATTATTATTATTATTATTATTATTAACAATATTTGTATGCCATTATTACTTGCATCTTTATATCACAAAGAGATCCTCAGCCTCCTTAGAATCAACTGTGCCACTTAACACTTTGACTTGCAAAGTGTCGAAAGTTCCGCAATTGAAAATCGTTGACAACACAAGCCAAAGAAATATTTCGATTCCCGTATTTTCATTAATTTCGAGCGCGACGAGGCGTGGGCAAATTTCATTAAAAATATCCCCAAATGAAAACATCGCAGTCGACCTCTCACCGATTCCAAGCGTGTCCCATTTTTCCTACTCCTAACGAAATCCGTGCATCGTACGCGTCATCTCGAAATCTCCTTTTCATTCTCCCCGCAAACAAATGTCGCTCAAAGTTATGTTGCAAAAGGCAGTCAACGTGTTAAAGGGCACCGTATACGGCGGCCTTTACCAGCAAACACAGCGTGTACGAGAAAATGTTATTCTGTCTGTTTCAGACGAAAGCTCACCTTGACGTATTGGCAGATGCCATTCTGCGATGGGCAAGAGGACGCTAATTCCTTTGTTGACGATGAACCTCTGACCTATGTATAAAATCATAAGTCTGACGAGTT